TYYTTTWRKTYYTTTRARRAWKSCMAARSMAAAAAAAAGAAGACCAGAGTACAAGAAGTCTTGAACTGGAACAAATTAGATTAAACTGGTTCAAAAATATATTGAACCTGAACTACAACATATACTCTATCATGCTGTTTACAGAATATACTTTTATTGTATTTTCTGTATTTTTAAAATTTATTGTAGAAGTCTTTTATTACAAACCGTCAACAGTATATTGTCAGTTTCATTTTTGTTCAAAAACATTTAACTTATCCTAGCTCAACTGCCACCTGTGTCCTTTTCAAAGTGAGTCACATGATATTTTTTCTTCTGTTCCTGGTCTTTGTGCAMGAGAGTCTGTTTTCAAATAAATCAGTTTCTAGCTTTGAATGGGAAAATGGCATATTTCAGATCTCATGATATTGATTATTTAATCAACTTATTTAATATGAGTTATTTTGAAGTCTTGCTTGCAATATGACAGTATGTGTAATGTTATCTTCCTGAATAAATGTTATAATTGTGATTGATATAATTATTTCAGTGAATGATGAAASGAGACGAAGTACTTCCCTTGATAGGATTAAAAGGAAAGCAAAACAAGAAAAATGGCAGTCAGTGCCTGAATTTAGTGAAGCGCTACTTACCAATACTACAATGGCTACCAAATTATTCCTGTCAAAAACTCCAATGTGATATGATAGCTGGCATTACTGTYGGCTTGATGGTAATTCCACAAGGTATAGCATATGCAGCAATTGCAGGCCTTGGACCAGTATATGGCTTGTATTGTGCATTTATGGGATGTTTTCTATATTGTGTATTTGGAWCAAGCAAGGATATCTCCATTGGACCAACTGCCATAATGTCATTGATTGTCGACCAATATTGCCACAAATCAAACAATGATGCCACAGTGAACGCACATTATGCCATTGTACTTTCTTTTATGGCTGGTATTATGATGCTTATAATGGGAGTTTTACGGTTGGGCTTTGTAGTACGATTTATAAGCATCCCAGTAATAAGTGGATTTACATCGTCTGCAGCAATTATTATTGCTGCAAGTCAACTGAAGTCCCTGTTAGGTTTAAAGAATGTTCGAAGGGAATTTGTCTTCTGTTTGCATGATACATTCCAGCACATCAAGGARACTAAACCCTGGGATTTGGTGTTAGGCTGTTCTTGCATTGTCATACTGTTCATTTTACGGCATTTGGGGAGAACACAATGGCCAGGCAATTCAACATCCAGAATSCAGAAAATTTCAAGAAAAATCATTTGGTTGGCAGGAACTGGACGGAATGCTTTGGTTGTGTTAATGGCAAGCCTTGTAGCTTATGCAGCTTYCTGCACAGGACATGAAGATACCTTTTCTCTGACAAAGTCAATTAATGAAGGTCTTCCACATTTTAAGGTAAGCTATTTAGTTTACTCTCAGCAAAATGTTGCTGGTATTCTCTACTTGCGCATACCCATAATACCTTCTGATTTTGGGGGGTAGTTATTGTTATTGAAATTATTTATATTTGAATAACAATTAATTTTATTTGCATCACAAAACCTACCCCCCAAAATCAGAAGGTATTATGGGTCATGTGAAAGTAGAGAATGGCATAATACTGTATGGACTTGTACCCAGTCTCTATAAGATATGATTATGTGTGCCTGAATTAACTGTTTCAAATTTCTCCTGAGTTGGTTCGATAAATAAAGGACTGAAGTTTTTAGGTTTTTTATTGTCAAGACTTAAATGAGTATTTATTTTTAACTTACATACTAAGATTACATACTAATTAGCAATCAAAGAGAAATTGGGGTTGGACAAATCTGTCACTCATTTTCCTGTAAACGTGAGCCTGCATTGCTGTTAAAAGCAGTTTCATCACTTTGAGTTATTGACTAAATTCACTTATAATTCATATAACTGTGCTATAATATATTTGATATTTTGAGGGAAAGAAGGAGATCAAATAATAAACTCCCAATCTAGACGCCATGTGCATGTTCAAGTAATGAAAGTTTCAAAAAACAAGATTTTAATGAATTATCCATGCGCAAGCCTCAGTAAAATTCTACTGGCAGAATAATGATATCATTTATTTGTCTTGTTGTTATCAAATTCCATAAAATTATAGGCAGACTCYGTCTTCTCCAGGACTGACAATGATATTTTATGTGAGCATTTGTATTTSTTGTGCCGTAATTCACATTTTAATGTGAGACGATTTGTTGGCCACCTTAGTTCATCCACAATACAGTAAAAATCTCCATATAAGAACCTACATTTTTCCAAGTCAGGCCAGAGTTAGTAGAGGGGACTCTGGTCAGGCTGAACAGGGTCATGGAAATGGTGCTTAACTTGAAATCATGCTCATTGGTTGTTAAGTTTTGTGAAGAAAAAATGCAATTGCATTGGATGGTGTGGCTTTTCAAATCAAGTAATTCACACATTTTCCGTACAGTGGAATAATGGRCTCAAGGTCAATCTCACACAACATAATCATATGAGAATCATACTGTGTAAGTTTATATTTGAGGACTCGCCGCGCTCGCAATAAAACCTCTGGATAACGATGGCGTGGTGAAGGCCATAGAACGTGTGTCGTCATAGGGCGGGAATTTTTGTCGATTTTTTTAAATAATATACCATCAAAAAGGTTGTTTCAAAGAATGGCGATTTCTKAAGCAATGAACGATAGCTTGAAGTGGTTTGAACCACGCTTGATGGTTATGAGAACGCGAGAAAAATCAGTTAATCGCGAGCCGATTCACCTCGTTTAAACTAAAACAGTAATTGGATGGGGTCCAAACCGAGCTAYTCTAAGTCAGTTATATACACTCCCTCCCCTCCACCGGGTGATTGCCTGCTTTGAGTTCACGTTTTGCGTTCTTTAATGTGAAAATAATTTAAAAAATGTTCTATATCTAAAGGCAATTCTTAGTGGACTTTTATTTCCGAAAAGATTAGATCGTAGTACATTAGTACATAGTACATAGTACATTAGTACATAGTACATAGTACATCACGGGGCGCTAGGGTAAATCCCAGGGTAAATCCCAAACTGACAACTTGCACAGCAGGCAAGTTTTCTATTTATACTGAATGCATCTATTTTTGTAAAATGCACGCGAACACTGAAATATGTTGAGTTGTCCCAAAATTACTTCAGATGTTTCTTTCTCTAAACGGCTGGAGGTACTCGCTAGATGTTACTATAGCTGATATAGTATTAAACAAGTTATTCTTAGCTATAGTTTGTGCATGCTAAAGCAGTTATTCGCSTGAGGCTCAGTTACAATTCGGTAAATATTCGGTGTATTGTTTTGCCCTTGGCAATATGAGTTGAATATAAAAGTGTTTACWAAAAGACGTGACTTGCGGCAAACTTAAGGTTCAGTGCTATTTAATTCACTTGAAAAAGTCTGACGCACGTTCATCACATTGCTTACTTAAACTCAAATTTCCCAGCAGTCAACGGAAATGCCATCTTATCGAGCTGACCATGTTAGGTGAAAACGTTTTTGCGTCCGTTTTTTGATATACCAAGCCAAAAATTCCAATTAGCCTCTAGCATCCACCAGTAATACAGCGTAATTGTCAGAGTGCAACAAACCGAAAAGTCAAAGAAAAAATTTAATAATAAGGAGCAAAAATAAAGTCTGACGTTACTAAGAGTATTCACAGAATAAATCTATAGATCCTCTCTCTTTTTGTCTGTCCGTCTATTTCTTGTTTTTATAGTACTGAAGAAAAAACATAACGTTCTTTTTAAAAATTTGAAAGTTCGATRGTTCGATATTTAGCATTTATAACCACGATCATGTCGATTGAGTTGATAGTCCATGGAGCTGTGCTCGGCCGAATCATTCATTCAGACTGGCCACGGGATGACGGTAGTAATATTTTATTCAGGTGTCTACGTGTATAAACATTATTGGGCTGCTAAAAAAACATGATTATTGAAATAGTCTCAACTGATCTAATYGTTCCTATAGCAACGGCTTTTTTAGTTTTTTTTTCACTGGAGAAGTCAATCCTGTTTTATGCTAAATTTGAAGACTTAAATGTTTTGTTTTTAGACCTTAACTTTTATCACTGGCATATTTGGTACAAATTCATAATCCGATAAAYATACCGGCTATGGCTGAATTTTTTTTGTCATTCAAAATCTGGTTAAACTGTCTATGAAAATCATTATAACAAAGATTCGATAGGGAATCGATTGGTCGGCGAACGGAAATCATTTTTGGCAATATTTGAAATATACACTGCTGAGCATGTGAACTCTACTCATGAAGTCACATACAAATGAAATTGAACGCCAAAGAACGTTGCTGATATAAGCTTGCTAGTAYATGTGTTATTTGATCACAAAAATACTGAACTTGGAATTCACAGTTTATCTCGGCGTTATCAGTGAAAGTGACGTCKTTCCCTGTCTTCAGTCCGTGCTCCAAAACACTTGTTTTAATAAAGCCCTGGCCTCTGTCCAGGGATCCATAGTTTAGAACATACCGGAATAACATCATCTGGAAATGTTTTCTGTTTTCTGTGTGCTKGATATTAATAGKATAATTCATTTGTCACGTTGTATGCAGTCAACTGAAAAAGTTGGTTTTGTCSAAATCTTGCAGTATGTGTATTGACAATATTAACGCATGATTTTCATTTCYATTTTTCAAAACTGATTCTTTATTAAATACTGTGTTTTATGGGCGCTGATCTATTCCTTTAAAATTTTTATAACATTAATTTAGTATGTAAACACGTAGGTGTAAACACTTARCTGCTGCCTACAATCCTCCTCATCGTCACCTTATACTCGATGTGCAAAAAAAGTGTTTTAATCAGTTTGTCTTGGTGGTCTTCAGCCAGTCTCCCTACATTCATCTTTCCTCGGTRTGCCAAGAACTGTTGTAGGCGTTCTCTTGCACTATGTCCAGAATTGTAATTATTTTACCGGGAGTTACCTGGGGAATATTCTAGTTCACATTTTCGACTGTAATTAAAGATTTTGATTAACATTTTTAGCAGTAATTTGTCCCGTTTCTGATTCTATACTAGAGCCAGACTTAGGATAGGAAAAATACATTTTATATTGATTTTTACTTTTCTTTAGCCATTATCGTTTGAGTATCTTGCAAAGTAGATGTCAAGTGCTGGCAACTTGTGTGATGATGAATTGATTTGTACCTACATGTTATTTTCTTCTGTGTGGGTTTAGCATTTTTTTGGCGTCGTTTTAAAGGGGAATTCTCTCAATTTATTCTCGCAAACAGCGTATATTTACATGAATTATTGTATGACATAACATGTTTTGTAAATAATCGTGCTCAGTCAACGGCAAAATCATTTCACTTCAATAAATAATTCAAGTTGCAAACTGCTTTCGTTTTGCCGGGTGTTCCCAGCTTTCAATTTTTCGATAAAACGCGTTGCTTTAAATCAAAATTAAATGGTTTATTTATTTTTGTTATTACATAATAGATATGAAAAAGAATTTAATCGAGTTGAAGAGTTTATTCGTGAGGTTTTTYKGTGTAATTGATACCCAGTATTGACTTGCATGTATGTCATGACCAAAAACAGCACAGAAGACTGACTTTCCGCATGGAGGAGGTAAATTGCTGTTTTAAATCGTTCAACTCTCTGTCAAGGAGTATCAAATCTCTGCTTAAGTTACCTGTAATGACCACTCCTAAGATAAATCAAAACACTGCTAAAAAATCGCTTAAGCGTAAGACAAAATCACTTAGACCTTGTGCCGTTATATAAATATTAAGCGGGCAAATTATTTCTTTGTTATGATAAATTTTTCATATTTTAAATRGTATTTATACTTCAATGTGTGGGAGTATTAGTTTCCAACAGTCAACGGTAGATGAAGAGTTCAATTCTTGATTGGCTCTCTTAGACCAGCTGTGACAAGGATGACATATGAATATTGATGAGGTAAATCGTTGTTCGATTGGTTGGTTTCTCAGGGAACCTGCTTAAAAACATACTACTGCTTCATTCGAGTAGTAGAACGATACAGAGAAGGAAAGTAAACGAGTGAAAGTCAAATCCTCAGGACAACGATGCCTTCCCCACGCTCAACTCGAGTCGAACTCGAAGAGAAGTGCATTGAAAACTGCCAGCAGAATGGCTGTCACAAAAAGATTTTCAAGGAAATCGTAGCGAAGCGAGTACCAATTTGTTCGTGGCTTCCAAGATACAATCTGAGTGCTTTGCAGTTCGATATCATCGCCGGTTTAACAGTCGGCCTTATGGTTGTACCCCAAGGCTTAGCGTATGCCTTGATAGCTGGCCTGCCTCCTCAGTATGGCCTGTACTCGGCCTTCATGGGATGTTTTGTTTACTGTATTTTTGGTACGAGTAAAGATATTACAATCGGACCTACTGCCATTATGTCTCTGATAGTCTCAGCTTATGGAAGACCTGAAATCCCAGCCTATGTAGTGCTTCTGACTATGCTGTCAGGCTTAATGCAGCTTGTCATGGGAATAATGAAACTTGGTTTTGTTGTGAACTTTATTTCAATTCCTGTTGTAAGCGGATTTACGTCTTCCGCTGCTATTATCATAGCAATTGGACAAATCAAAGACTTATTAGGACTCAAAGACGTACCCAGACCTTTTCTGAAGAGGGTCTATTACACCTTTAAACACATCGAAGAGACGAAAACAGGGGACTTAGTACTTGGACTTATTTGTATCGTCGTACTGTTGGCGTTACGCACTCTCGGCCGCTCGAAGTGGGTGAAAGATAACCAAGAAACGCAGAAATGGAAGTGGGCAGTGAAGAAAATGATCTGGCTCTTCACTATTGCTAGAAATGCTTTGATTATTATCCTAGCTTCGTGTATCGTAGTTATTTTCATCGCACATGGCAATCGAGGTGCTTTCTCTCTTACTGGTCACTTGGACCCTGGACTTCCTCCATTTCAGGTAGATTTTTTACGGTCTTTGTACATTGCCCTACACCACTCTACCCGTGCCGAATGTAAACAAAATCAATGTTTCGTGAAATTTCGTGATTTTAATTTGTGATCTCGCAGTGGAGCTAATTTTAATTCACAGGCTCTTGTTGTTTTTTAGAAATTTAAATGGTAAAAGTATGAAATAGTTTATTAGAACATACTTTGTAATATTACGACTCTTTTCGACTAATAAACTAGGTGCAATAGAGGTTTTATAGTACTGATCTCTACTAAGGCTTAGTCATAATATTTATAATTAAGGTCGCCAAACCGGAACATCGGGAAAAGAATATAAGTGGTCTTGAAATTGAGAAATAGGCTATTAATATTCCATTATCATACATTTTCGCTATTGCAGTCTGCGTTTTGTTCTTTACCAAGTCGTCTTGTTAGTCACGTGATTTGTCACGTTTAATCTGCACGGATTTTAAAATGACTGCTCATTTTTTTCCAGTACACACAAGGGGCAGGCGAAAAATTAGTATTTTTTAGCGGACTCTGCACGTGGAATAAATAGAGATCCCGGAGGGGTTAATCTTTGAGACATCCTGCTTGAAAAATGTCGGTCACATTTTGTATAAACTTCAGGTGCTTCAGTASTGTTGCAAACGTTTTTGCAAGTATGGCTTTTTGTTACCTATTAATAAAATGTTTCGTACTTTTATTAAAAATTGTTTATTATTTCCACAGGCGCCGTCTATGACGATTCAAGTTGGTAACAGCACTCGGGATCCGTTGGAAGTACTATCTGATCTTGGACCTGGTCTGGCCATCGTTCCCCTAATTGGTTTCCTTGAGAGCATAGCGATAGCGAAAGCGTTTGCCCGAAAAAATAAGTACAGAGTAGATGCCAGCCAAGAACTGATTGCGCTAGGTTTGGCCAACTGTTTTGGGTCGTTCGTTTCTTCGTATCCAGTTACTGGAAGTTTTTCGAGGACTGCTGTGAACGCGCAAAGTGGTGTGGCTTCCCCTGCTGGAGGTAAGACATTTTTGACATTACACACGTGCAAAGGCCAGTAAATGTACTCGGTACACGAGACTAATTGCACGATACACAAGGGCAAGAGTTTTGAYACCAATGTCAACAACTTTCGGGATTGGTAGCGGGTATTCTTGCTGCAAACATTTAGTTTTATTTGSTGGTTTTTATATAAAGCTACTTAGAGAGAATACTCAAGTCGATTGCAATGAGATATTCAGGCAACACGTGCGGACAGTTTGTYGGGTGCTTGATGCACGAGACTTACTGGTAAGATTATAACGGTATGATGCATGACGAAATCATCCTAAATATTTACTTACAGATTTGATAAAGGCATTATATATTAGCATCAACAAAATCGGCTGCCAGGAAGTCGATAATGAAAACACAAAAATTGCGAGTAATAAGCTTACAAAAATGAAAAAATTTAAGGCAACTTTGGGCGAATTTTCCCCACTATTCGACACTAGTGGTACTTCTTCGGTTACATGATTACAAATTGTAATGACCTCAGTACATTTCGCGTATTTCGGTACGTGAGAAAAATGCCCGGTAGAAAGATAAGACTTCCTGTGCAGTAACGGGCTTATTATTTTCATTTTCTTCGTTTTATTGCTTCTTATTATTTCACAATGCATCGTATTGTCAGTCTCATCGAAAGACATATAACACCATTAACATACCAGGAACATTGGCTAAGGCAGACCGTGCACGAGACTGACTGTCAAAGTCTGTGAATGACAGCACGTGAGCGGGACGGTGAGCTAAGAACCAGTGATATCCACTCAAAACGATTCATTTTCTTATTTTAKTTCTTTATTTAAGAAAAATAAAAAAAAGTTGATCGTGCAGCGATGACWGATTGGTAACTTGACTAGTTTCATTTGACGTACAAGAGATCTGTAATGGAAAACAAGTACTTACATGACGATAGCTGCAACATGATATTTTAATTGGATCTTTTTGATKCTAAACATTGTTCCYGTTTACGAGTGTCATAAATCACATCGTGCCTGGCGTTATGCCTATAACTAGCATTCCATAGCATTTAATAGTAACATTTACAACAAGCTGTGCTTCCTGAAATGATGGCCTTTCAAGGCATAAATTCCGTGTTTGCTGGAAGTAAAACGATGATAGTGTTGCTTTACATATGTTTGTTATAAAAATGAGAGGTTGGGCTGACCTTTGGCAAAACAAAACATTCACAATCATCCAAATGTTTTTACCACTATTTAGTTTATGCCTAAAGATCAAACACCGAATCTCAAAAGTTCATAATTCAATGCTAATACGTTACTTTAATCTTTAATTTCAAGTCATTAGTTTCCTATTTATTTTCCCAAATTGACCCTTTTTTAAGAATGTAGATTATTTTTGACTTGCCGTCGCGAGTCTTTGATTATGTAATAGTACAAGCCTCAACATCACATCACTGTGGGGGGGCTTTGAACGCTTGTGCTGTTGATCAGTGAGGCTCTTAACATATCAATCGTTCTTCAACTTGATGTGAGGCATTCACGTCCCGTGCACGGTGCGGCGTGCTTTGCATCACCTGATATCACTGAACGAACACGTGAACGTTGAAATTTTGAAGTAGTATCGAGTCATCGATAAAAAAATCATCGATACCATTGCCGCACTATCTGATGGTACATTGTCTGTTTTATAGTGTGAAAATATAAAACAAAAGAAATATATTGCAAACAACGTTTTACAAATTTTATAGTACAACGTCCTCTTCTACTGTTTAATTTTTTGTCTTTGAGAGTGCGTAAAAATAGATATGGACTTAGAACATTTTAAAAACCGTGAAAAAGATATACTGACTTAGGATATTGAACCCGTGAAACAACATCTAACCTTTTATGTGTGGTGGTCAAATAGACATAAAATAAATTGGATAATAATATCTATGTCGCGAACGTTTTGTTTTTTGCTGATTTCAAACTTTCATATCTGAGCAGGAGACCGGCTTCAACCTAAAGAACACATCAAAATTAATAAAATCCCAGAGTTTAGTACTGTTCGGGTAAATGTAGAGGAACACAAGCATAGGCGTAAGCATAAGCCAAGAACAAAAAGAAGACAAAGAAATGAAGTCGAGCTCGTTGCATAAGACATCGAATAAGCATTCACGACTTTCCATACTCATGTTCAGTGACCATGACCATTGGACCGAGGCGTCAAGATACACTGTCCACAGATCTTTTCTTTTATGTACTTTAACGCCTCGGTTCAATGCTTTGTTCGTGGTCGCTGAACATGAGTAAAACTGATCTCTGATCAGTGATCTTTGACAACTTGGTTCAATGCTTTGTTATTGGTCACTGAACCTTGGTATGGAAAGTCATGACTGGATTGTGGGGAAAAACTAGAGATTATTTTATTTGTGAATAAAGGAGTTTTTGAATGGCTGTAAGTTTTTAATGGTTTGCCTATAATTTATAATATAATAATTCTTTATATTTCGATAGGTTTTTATGATGATATTTGGTTTTATGATTGACTCGGAAAAGTGCTCTGTCCTCGTCTTTTTTCATCCTGCGATGATCTCGTGATCATTTCTGTGATGCAGTAAACCTGTAATTTTTATTGTGGGTTGGAAGTGATTCAAATACCATCCCAAGCCACTTCGAAATACGTGCTTTAAGGACACTTTCATATTTCAAACGTTTTTTTGGTGTAAACGGATAGCCTAAAATCTCCTCATTCTTCTCGACCTTAATTAACGCACCTCTAACTTGTCAAGAACAAGCACTTAAAGAGTCAAGTGGCTGAGGTTCATGTGTTCCTTCGTGTGTTCCTACCTTTTTGGTACGATTTCAACAAGTACCAAGTTTTCGTTTTAATTTTGTTTTTGCTCTCGGAATCACTGTCCAGTCTCACGAAAGAAACTTTAGAAAACAGTTTAGCGAACTTGATTTTCATTTTCCATAAAGATGGGAAATAGTACTTATAATTGGGCCTTAGAAAGTCATCATACTGCTATTAGATAGTAAAACACACCACTAAGACTAACACACTTATCGTATGGTGATCCATACATTCAAGTCAGGGTCGAATACACTCCTGTTCTCTAATCCTCTAAAACACCCGAATAAGATACCTATCATTCCCTGTAAAGGAAGACCATCCTCTAAAACACCCGAATAAGATACCTATCATTCCCTGTAAAGGAAGACCATCTCAGGTGTCAAAACTTCCTTTTAAAGGAAAGCTGAAGGCCTTCCTTTAGGCAATGCAGTAAATTTATCGTCTGTTATACACCGGAAATTAGCGTTGTAAAACGTCGTGCATGTCCAGCGTGTGTTTTAAGCGTCCGTTACTAGTTTTGCATAAAAATTAAGATGGTTTTATTCTTGTTATACAAATTAATCACTTATAAATCAACAATAAAGGATACCTTCTCTATGATACCATTTAAGATTTTTGTGAAGTACGTCGAGAACCTTATTAGAAATTATTAGAATCGTAGTATAATAAACAAATGAAATAAATTAATCAATGGAAAAGGTAAATGATGTTTTATCTCTGGCATAAACAAGTACATGTCTTTTTCATAGCTTATTGATATCAATAAAACTACTCTTGAATTAGTACTATTGAAAATGCGAATTGTAGAATGTCGAATTGAAGGATAGCGAGTGCTGGGTGTGAAAAACCAATCGATGAATATCTATGTGTATATGTGATATGAAGCTAGATTTGTGCTATATGTGTTTGTACATATCTTCATCAATTACCTGTTGTTACCTAATGCATAGTGTTGTACGAAAAAAGCATTCTTTTTAGTAAAGTGTCGTATTAGCCTCCTTTACAGGCAGTTAAATTCCTCCTTGATCTCCATTTTTACATGAACCTAATGTATGAGAGAGAGAGAGATCTGAGGATGACAGCATTTTATACACGGGAAACCCCAAACCAGAGAGAGGTACAATGATCACTGCGGAGAAAGGCGTATATTTAAGATGATTGGAATTGAATTCTAAAATGTTTTTTGTTTTTCTTCGTGTAGGAATTTTCACTGGAGCTGTTGTGCTACTGGCTTTGGGAGTTCTTACGCCATTTTTCAAATACATCCCTAAAGCGTCTCTAGCAGCTTTGATCATCTCATCTGTTCTTACCATGGTAGAATATCGCATTGTCTTCAAAATATGGAAAGTCAACAAGATCGACTTATTGCCCCTATTTGTCACATTCTTTGGGTGTTTCTATGAGATTGAGTACGGTATTCTGTGTGGTATAGGTGTGTCACTTATGATATTCCTTTACCCTATAATCTGGCCAAAGATGATCAAAGCCCACCGAGACTTCACTGTAATCAAGGTCAATGGCGACTTAGTCTACGCAGGGATGGACTACGTGACGTCACAAATCCAAGAAGCGTCGTATCAAGACCCACTCCCCAGGGGATTTATTATCGACATGAACGTTGTGACACAAATAGACTTTACAGTAACCCAGAGCCTGCTAATGCTCCTTGACGACTTTACGAGTCGCAAAATACCATTACTTTTCTCTGGTGTTCAGGACCATATACGAGATACCATGGTTGATTCAGGCATCGACTTAAAGCTAATCAATCCAAGTGCCGAAACCATGGCAAGTATCAATTCAGAGTCATCGCCCTTTATTGATGATGATGAATTGGAGAGTCAATAAAGCCGTTAAACTCACACTGACATGCGTCTGCAGAGTTAACTGACTGCTGGCCAAACTGCTTTATGATCAGCAACACGTAAGCCCTACTGTACAAACAATAATTACGAAGATAAGTTTATTGTTGTACCACAAATCAACGAGCGTCTACCAACAAAATGTGTTTCCCAGAAACCATAAACTAATGATCATGAAGAGGCGTAAATAAAAAAAAGGCTTACACCTAATTACACAAACGTTGTCCAAGAAAAAAGAACTTTTACTATTTAGGAATTAATTAAATACAAAAGAAAGTGTTCGGCTTCAGTGGTCACGTTTTGTCTTTTAATGTATTCCTAATTTCCTAAATCCCTAAATCTCAGGACAACGTTTTCGCAAGTAGGTGTATATAGAACGTAAAGGGAAATACAAGCTCTTTTCGKGAAACCATGTAGCTTGTGGCACAGGGGATCACGGGATTCTCCTTCATTGTGACATCGCAAAAATGTTTTTTTTCTCCGGAAATCTTGCGATTTGTTACCAAATTTGGAAAGGAAATTTTTATGGGTGAATGACACAAAACCTTATCAGCTTGACTGCTATTCTTTCGAGTCAATTTTATGAGGATTTGTATGCGGCCTAATAATATCTCAATTAACAACCAAAATATATTCTGAGTTTTTGCTTTTATCACTCGACTCTATTTGAGGTCAAGCGATAACAATGGTTTTTAATTGCGGCAATATCCCTTTAGAGGACTACAAAAGCAAGCAAACATAAACAAAGACTGATAGCAGCCTGTGTCAGCTTTTTGTAGCAACAATGTTTCCCAAAAGGAGTCAGCTCCGTGAATTTCATGGTAGGGGCGATATCACAACCAATTATTTTTCGATAATTGCTCGATCTGCACAATAATGATTTATACAGAAAGTATATGCATGTAGAAATTAGTCTAATATTGGAGATTTAAAATGAAAAAGGCAGAATATAATATGAAAAATAATATTTTGATAAATAAGTTCACATGTAAATTCTCATTAGTAAAAGTATAAACAATGAATTTTACTATTAGTGGTCGGTCTTCCAGTTTTCATTAGAGTGAATTTTAAATAGAATTACAAAGAGTAATTAAAATTTCAAAAGCCCGAATGGACCTTTCCCGAATTCGTTTGGATGATCACAGAAAAAGGGTTTCACGACGAGGAACTTGATTCTTTTGTCTATCAAGGCCAGGCTCTAACTGAAATCACTGTTTCGTCTTCATCCAGGCGAATTCGGGTCTATTATATGGTACAACCGTTTGGTCACAACCATGGCACGCAGCATGAATAAGTCATCCGTAGATCATGGCTACAACTGTCGTAGGGCTAATAAACTATCATTTTGAATCTCTACGAAAATTGTAGCCATGTTGTAAAGACGACTTGGTCTGGTTTGCATGCGATGGCTGTAGGCAAATGTTGTGCTATCTAATTCGGCTTCAATATAGAGATATTTTTTTATTAACATGATTGTAAAGTTGTAGCAAAAGGGTATAGATGGGGCATAAAAGAGTGTTTATATATGAATTAAAGATTATTATTATTGTTGCATGTTCCAGTCATTATAACATACTTTCACCTGCAAAAATTCTGACCGCTAATATATATTGATATATTTATATGTTAGCGATCAGAATTTCTTAATTAAAATGTATATAAATATATAATAATGAATATTGGTACTTGATTAGACTGAGGTCAGAAAATCCCTGAAATAGATATCCTAATCCCATAGCCCACGTTCGATCGTTTCGGCTGACTGTGCACACACGAGGTTCAGGCTATGCAATAGGTACTGAAAGTGGGCTATTGTCTAATTAATCCTGGGAAAAGACCAAAAAAAAAGAAAACGGTGCTCATTCTTTAATAGAAAAGTGTAATAGAGCATTATTTTGTAATATGTTTATTATATCTTTATTGTAAATAAAAAGGTTATTATTTTTGAAAGAGTTTTCTGAGACTATCTACAATGGTAAACAAGAAAGGTTGTTAGCGTAACTGCTAATGACGGAAAAAAATCGGCCTCAAAATCAGACTCATTTTGTTCTTTAAGAAAAAATCAAAGTTAGAGCTTAAAAGAAATTGTAAAATCTTTGGATAATATTATTTACAAGACCATAAGATAATTATCGTTAACAGAATCAAATAATTATTGAAAAGTAAAGAATACGGTTGTTTTCGAGGCCCTGTCCCTCAAAATAAATAATTGGTTAGTGCGGGTCAGTACATTGGTTCGGGGAGTATGATCGCGCTTTCATGACTTAAGACGTCCACTGAAGAGACGTTCAATTCCAGAATATCTTTGGAGGATAGCTAAATAGTCGTTCTGTGTCCTTGATGCAAGTTTCAAGGGGGTTCCAGGGAGGAGCAAAGGGGGGGCTGTAGCCCCTCCTTTGAGTACGTAAAAGGTTAACTGTTTCTAATATTTTCAATGTTTTTATAACAAATAAAGCCCATTTTATCCCCCCTTAAGACCATTTAACCCCCCTTTAAAATTTCAAATGGATCCGCCCTTGAGTTTGGAATTTTGCTGTAATTGGTGAGAACGATAGAATTTCTAGAAGCACTTTTTCTAGATGTTTCTCAGCAAGGGGTTCTATTGCTGACTTTTAAAGCTTTAAGGTATCGAAACCATTGTACGTTACCAGAAGAACTAGTGCAACATAATTCCACATATTTAAAGAGTTTAGAAACTAGCCGCAACCGAGACAGATTGCTTTTAAATGTATGCTGATATATAATGGTGCAAAAAACTTTCAACAATCTTAATCCGTTGTATATTTTCTTTTTTCAATAAATCTAAATACAAAAACACATGGATAAACTCAAAAAACCTGGAATAGGTCTTGATTTCAAAATTCAAAACGAAGATATCGAATTTAACATTGTAAAGGCTATCCCGGCCAGGGCCTTCCCTAGAAATCCAAAACATACATTGAATGATCGAAAAAGGGTATGTGTGTTTTGTAAAATGAATACCTCGATATTTCCACTACCCTAATGGGTGGCGTAAAACAATAACTAATATCATCCAGCAGATCAGGGGTCAGAACTCCATTCCAGATTTTTAGTGTCTATTTTAGTAGCATCTTTGCGGGAGTTCTATCATCGTTACCACAGGCACGGAAATGATGAAATGTGCTTATAACATAAATAGTGCATATATAGTTAGGGCATTATTTACCATTGTATTTAATGGCCATAGTACAGTAATCCAATAGACATAAAAGATGGACGATGGACCCAGTAGAATGAAAAAAAATTCGTTTTTTGACCTTTTGTTCATGTAGCATTACTTTGCACAATTTTGGTAATTAGTGTTTCACGGTTGTATTGTTCATGTTTAAATATCTCTGTTTTGACTGCAAACACTAGAGTTATCGCACTTAAAAAGAAAACGTGCAACTTTAGGGCCTGTTCACACTCGACATAAGCATGTCGAACAAAAGAAAAGACAAAGAATGAAGTCAAACGTACATCGATATAAGCATAGCAAGAAGCATAAGGGTCGGTGGGATCTAGCGGTAAACTAGTAGCATAAGGCAGAGCATCAGCTAATGAAAGACAAAGGAATAAACAGAGAAAAACACCTTACTTTTTGTCTTCTCAATCCTTTAGAAACCCTTTGTTTATGGAGCTTGTGCTTATGTTGCAGTGTGACGAGCACTTTCAAACTAAATTGTGCTATTTAATTGTATCCAGTAAATCGTACATGCGGTACGCAAATTAAATTAAATTGATACAAATGAAGCATTCAATAGAGTGAGCGCACTTAATCCGTGCAACTGTACAAAATCTAAGTAGTATTAATTTGCACTAAACGTGGACCTGAAGCAAGACGGTATTGAATGCTCCATTTGTACAATTCAATTTAATTTGCGTACCGCATGCACGATTTACTTAATACAACTAAAAAGCACTATTTAGTTTGTACAATTGCACGGATTAAGTGAGTTCACTCTACTGTCTTGCTTCAGGTCCACTTTTAGTGCAAATTAGTACTACTGCAAGCACTAAAACTGTGCAACATAAATACCACTAAATACTGCTAAATTATGCTAATTCYATTGTTTTSTATTGTTWRATTAACACTATTTTGTAGTAAATAGTGGAAAGTGTTGAATACATTTAGTGTTTGTACTCTACAGTTGCACGGTTCAAGTGCGATCACTCAAAGAAAGGAATTAAGCTTTTCGTCGTCTTTTAGAACTAAATAGCACTATTTAGTTTGTACAGTTTGTACATTAACCCGTGGAACACACCTTAGCGTTTTATTCTTTTACTACTCTTTTTTACACTTTTTCTGTTCTTTTATCCACGAATAACACAGATATTTGCATAGGAATTTTTTCCTATTGTAAGAACACAATACCCATGTAAGACTGACCCATGTAAATATAGAATTGCTACCAGGAAAATACTAATCTACTAGATCATTGGTTTTCATGAAAGCTCCTGACACTAGCGAAACCGATAACAGAGAATACGGGAGAATAGTTTTTGGAGTCGCATGTTCATCCTTTAGACCGAAGACTCAAGCGCGTGGGCTAGGAAATTTTCCATGCTCGCCGTGTTTGAGGTTTTATTGAAGGAGTTGTACAAGTGATTCCTATTTCTGGGAATTGCACAGCAGATATCATAATTGCATCTATTGAACACCAAATATTGCCATTGCTACCAAGAAATGTATTTCTAGTTGCCGACAACGCTAGCGTCCACAATGAGCAAAGACTCAGTGCAATTCTACGTCAAAGAAACACCACACTTAAATTAAAATTAAATTACCGGCGTATGCGTATGATCTGAATCCCATTGAAATGATATTTGGTCAAGCTAAGGCTATCGCACGTTCTACTCCTGAAATTGATTGCTCAAAATCCTATATGCTTGCTATTGTAAATGCTTTTGAACAGATAAGTGCTCTAAATTTCAGAAAATTCTATCAACGTTCGTAGAAAATCGCAGTGTAGTAACTTAAGAACTAAATAAATTGCGGAAATTGTAATTTTGCAGTTATGTTCTTGATAAATATGATTGAAATTTTGTGTGGTGGGCAGAGTATTTAACCAATAGCACTATTACACCCTCATACACTTTGTCTCTTCTTTACTATTACACTTTGTTTCACGGGTTAATGAGAACGACTCTAAGTGCGATCACTCTTTCAATTCCTTTCTTTTCAATTGTCTAATCTGCACTATATTGAGCGATTTAACACAATTTGGTTAGTACGTTTTCACGCGTTTAATGTTTGGTATTTGGACCCCTTGAGTCTTACGCATTATTCATCTGTGTAAAACGTTATTGTCCAATTTTAGTGTAATTTTATCCCCAATAGCACTACTTGCGTGTCAACTTAAGACACTTAACATATCAAAAAATCAAAAATTCCCAAAGAAACTGTACCAAAATGAATTGTTTTGTCAAGGATTTCACGGCTTGTTTGAGATGTTAATCTGATTAATTACAAGTCACTTATGACCTGTAAATGTACTATTGAAGAGCGCACGCGCCTGTTGATGTACAGGAATATTTGATATGCAGCAAAGGTCATCTAAATAAGGGAATTTCTACCTGATATTTATATCCATAAATATATTGAATAGTTGGTTCGCTGAGGCCCTCCACTACCAGGGTCACATCTTTCAACTGTTAAATCTTCTATTATCCCATTACAGTTTGTTAATAGCTTTACTGTGCTGGGAGAAGGCCAGCTGTAAGTTATAGTCGTTATGGTAATAGACTTTGATTTGAAGAAACAGATGAACTTGGGTACGTTTAAATTGGCTGCCAGCGATGTTCATGTTAATAAATGTGGATATGTCTCATAGAGAAAGCGGTGATTATTCCCTGCAGACATTATCCGTGAAGAACTGTTACACACATAAATAACAGTATAATTTCTCGCTAGAACGTGCTCGGCTTCTGCTCCCTTTCGGTGTTTATATCTGTTTCACGGTTTTAAAGAAACCAATCTAATGCGCTCTCTCTACAACCGGAATTTAGCCGCCTTGTTTCATACCGTGGGAGGTTGAGTACAAGTCCCTTAAAGGCTGATTTACACGGTACGATTTGTAGCGCGCGACTTGTAGTATACGACTTGAATCGCGCAGTGTAAATGCTCCTACGACTTGTCTACAACAGTCGTACGCAACCTACGACTTGTAGTAGGATTTTGAACCACTGCTTAAAATCCTACGACTTGTATTAGGAAAATCGTATACTACAAGTCGCGCGCGACAAATCGTACCGTGTAAATCAGCCTTAAGACTTGTATAGGTAGATCGAAAGATCGCACTGTAAATCACAGATTCACAAAGTATGGTGGTAAATAAAATATGAACCATTGACAGCTTTTGAAATGTTATCACCAATCTTTAACGGCATAAAATCAGTTATTTTTCAGCAATGGCACTATGAAATAAAATCAAAATACTTATTCTAGAGTGCAAAGACTAAAATCTTTCCATAAAAACCATCTAATAGTGCTTTTAGGCGAGTTAGAGGGGTTCTTGACCATCCATATATTACATAAGTGTTACATTTCAACCTCTTCTAGTTTTTGGCAACAGTTCTCCGCGTCATTTTCCTTCAAACCTAGAGATTCGCATGCATAAGTGCAATTAGTGTAGTGAACAACGCATCCTCCAGGCTTTGCGGTTTTCTGGTGAGGACTGTGTAAGAGGCCATTTGAACTAAGAACTTGAACGAGGTCTGACCATTAATGGGAAGCTAGTTTTTATTTGCAGAAAGAACTATATGGCTATTGTGCTTTAGTATCCCCGTTCATTGCTCCTATTTCGTTCATACCGTATAAACTAAAACAATCATGAAAGATTATTGTG